CAACCACCAACCATGGAGGAGATGATGGCCATGATCAATGGCTTAAGGGAGGAGAATGCGCGATCCAGGGAGAGAGAGGAGGCCATTCAACGCAAAAACGAGGAGATCAGGAGGCGTGCGGACGAGATGCAGGCCAAAATTGCGGCCAGTACCAGGACGGTGGATGAAGATGTCATGATGGAAGTCCCTAGGGATTTTCGACCCTTCTCGGAAGCCATAGAAGCCGAGATCATCCCCAGGGACCATCGGATACCCCAAGTGGAACCTTTCAATGGAACGCAGGATCCCAGGCAGCACTTGACAGACTTCCGAGCCCAAATGTTGATCTGTGGAGGGAGCATGGAAGTACGATGCAAACTATTTATGGGAACACTCAAAAAGGCGGCACTCGATTGGTTCAGTGGTCTCCCTGACCGGTCGATCACCGACTTTGATGTCTTCAGTCGGCTCTTTATGGCCCAATTTGCTGCTAATAAGAAGAAGCCGCCAATCACGTCGGACTTGTTCGATCTCAAGCAGCGGCGAGAGGAGTCGTTGAAGGATTTTTTGCAGAGATTTAACGAAGTCGCCCTGAGGATAGCGTCCTTGGATGAGAGGATGGCTGTTATCGCGTTCCAGAAAGGGGGGCGTAGGAAAAGTTTCACCGTAGCCCCACGGTGGGCGCCAAAATGTTCCGGCCAAAGGGTGGACTAGGGTTTTTTCCTAGATCGTGCCTTAGAGCCAGAGCATTCAAAAGGGGAGCATGGAAGTACGATGCAAACTATTTATGGGAACACTCAAAAAGGCGGCACTCGATTGGTTCAGTGGTCTCCCTGACCGGTCGATCACCGACTTTGATGTCTTCAGTCGGCTCTTTATTATCTCGGAATCTCTAGAAATTTAAGATTTTCCAACAATATAGTCAATGTTTGACCATGCCTTTCAACTGTTGCATCATCAGTTTGTTGCTTTATATAATATAAGTCATGAATATCGAACACTCGCGGATTTGAACAGTCAAAACCAAAACGTGTTGAGTTCTCTGCTTCTCTTGCCTCAAAAGCTCTACAAGTAAATTATGGTGTCCTTTTGTCTGTTTGATGTATGGCTTCATTAATTACATATTGTCTTAAGTTCCTGCAGTTTAATGTTATTCTTGCAAGCGCTCTTATGAAGGGAAACAAGAGCATTTATACTAGTGCTTTGGATTGGTAATATGATATTATGAGCTTGGAAGTTGGTTCGATGACAGCTATGAAACAGACATTGTTTTAAAACGGGATTTCATGCAGATAATAAAATTAGCATTGTTTATTACTATTACTGTTGGAGCCCCATGATAAAGCCGATCGAATTCAAAAAGCCATCCTCAACACAATTTTAGAAAAGGAGTATCAAACTACAAACCTTGAGACAGTTCAAACTTCAAAGACGATTGAATTAAAAAAAATGTGATCATCTTTTAGTTTAGAAAAATGCTGACTATACTCTTTCTTACAGTATCTTACTAATACTTTTATCAGTTATTGGGTAAAAATTACAATTTTTTGTTTAATCTATAATTAAATAAAAAGAAACTTATGAAATGATTTATTGAACTTACAAGACTTATAATTTTTAATAAATTTTAATTAATAATAGAGTGTTCAAATGTCGCTGGCATTACTCTTTAATTTTGGACTAGAAGAAATTGTTTAGTTTTTAGATCTTGCTTTCAGTCAAGTACTCATTTTTTTAATAAATCAAATTCAATTACCCATCGTGGGAATGAACTGACAGAAAGCTTAAAACATGAAAATGTAATTGCGTTAAAACTTGTATAAAAAGAAACCTTACCTCAAATCTAAATAGAATGGATCAACCTTCTCTCAATAAATAAATAAATAAATAAACATAAACATAAAGTTGATGCTGTGATGTAATTCACACCCCTCTTTATTATTCCTCGCTATTTTTTTTGTAATTTTTTTTACAAAAATATCTTCATAGAAACTAATGTCTACAATATAGTTATGTTTTAATATATTACGAAAACTAATTTTTGCGTATTATAAAAATTTACATTATAAAAAAAAATGTTTCTGGTAGCTAATATCCCTTTCACTTGTCCACCTAATGTTTTAACACATTATTTCATCTAATTACTATCTTCAATACTAACAATAAGTCAACAACAACAAAGAAAATGTCCGAGACACATTCTAATTTCTACTTCTATCGATCGTCTCTACAGTTAAAATATTACATCTTATACACAACACTTTCGTACCAAAATAGTATGGAAACTCAACTTCTCAACTAATTTTTATTTATTTTATACTTAATTATAAAAAAAATTGTTGTCTCGATGAGTTAGTCGACAGACACTGAGTCACTGACCCACTGCAACCTTTTTCTTGATTGACTAAAATGAGACAGACAAAAATGGGCTGGTGGGTTGAAAAATCCCAGCTCAGCCCACCTTAGAGAGTGGTTACATGGGTCATCCCATTAGACCTAGCCACCACTGGAGATTCAGAAGATGGGTATTTTAAAATATCATAAAAACAAATAAAAAAAAGTAAAAATGTGAAGATAAAAAAGGGGATGTGAATACCATGGCCCATGGGCCAAAATATAATCACAATCAAGTAGCACTGCTTTTATAAATTTTGTTTTTATAATATCACTAACATTTTAACATATACATTTCACATGTTAAATATTTATTGTATAATTAAAATTTATCATAAAAACTTATATAATATATATATATGAATGTATAATTTATATTTAAAACTTATATAATAAATATTTTTAAGTATATAAATTATATTTAAAA